CAAAGAGTTTGTAACAACGGTGAAATAATGCACGGGAATCTTTCTAGTGAAGGCGCGAGGTACAGCAGTAGGAAGAGCGGAGTCGGTTTGTTTGTCCGCTGAGCCCAGAAGGGGTTAAAATTGCTGTGTCAGATAGATCCTTATATCACGCCCGGATCTGCGGATAGATTGAAGTTTTAGAACCGGGCCCGTGAGGAAAACGTGAGCTGAAGTGACGGAAAAAGGAAAAAGAAAAGGAAAGAGAAGGGAGAAACAAGGTATCTGTGACCACCTGATGTGGCTGAGCAGTGGCACAGGGGACTTACCGGGTCGGGCTGATGACGAGCATAGATGACAAAACGCTGGCAGCATGGGCGGGAACCTGCTGTCCGTTTCAGAAGAGCGCGAGGCTTTTCAGTATTCTGGCGTGGGCGGTAAGTAGCGGGTGAGGAATTGCTGCTCGAAGGCGGAAAGGAGTGCTTTCCAAGTATAAAGCTAGTTACTGTAGAGAACCTAGCCATCTCGAATCCCCCTGACGAGGCCGTCTCTGGCTACAGCCGAAACTAGTAGGGGATATGCCAGATATGCTCCTCTCTACGGTGTTGCGGTGGGGGCTGTGGCGTTGATCATAGCTCTGCTATAATGTGCTCTCGGCTCGTTCTGTCATTATTTTTTGGAGAGTACCTCGATTTCGGGATTGGTTCTCGCACGGTGTGCGCCGTGGTGCTACACGGTTGTGTGTTTGAATGAGTCAGTTTACCTGTCTCCTTTTCACTTCACTTCGTTTTCGGGAGTGACTGGTAGACAGCTGCACTGGCTTGTGGTGAACTCTACTTTCGTCTTTTTTTTCCGTGTCTGCTGTAAATAGCTGTCATTCGTGCTTCCTGTGGATAGCAGCGTTCTGTTCCCCTTCTGGGGTAACTCTGGTTCCTGAAACAGAACCTGCCCAATGATGCCTCGTTCTCCTTCACGGCCTATGTTCACTTTTGTAAGGGACAGCGGGGCCCGTTCCCAGCTTGTATAATAATAACAAGAGGATGCCCATGTTCACTTTTGTAAGGGACGGCAGGGCCGGTTCCCAGCTTGTATAATAATAACAACAGGATGCCCGCCGCAACTACGGCGAGGACTAAGAATTGCATTCTCACTCCAGACAACAATCTGTCCGTCCGCACCGATCCAAGGATCGAACACGCGACCTCCACATTAAGAGGCAAACGCTCAACCAAACGGCTAAGTGGACTGGGGTGAAAGTTAAGCCCCAAGATGAGTACTTAACCCCACCCCAGCACGGGTACTCGTTTTCCCCCGCGACCCAGTGTACCCAGTCACACACGCGCACCCAACCAGGGTGTGTAGACGCAGCCACCATACAATGTACGACCTCACTGCTGGTTGCTACGCAGGTAAGAATTGCATTCTCACTCCAGACAACAATATGTCCGTCCGCACCGATCCAAGGATCGATCCACGTTAAGAGGCAAACACTCAACCAAACGGCTAAGTGGACTGGGGTGAAAGTTAAGCCCCAAGGAAGATGGGGACTAAGAGCAGGGGAACAAAAAAAAAAAAAAAAAAAAGCTACGCCCATGGCATGCAGCGCGGCCCCATGGAAATCAACTCTCTGAGTATGGTCACCACGGCCACGCCCACGGCAGACCTACTCTTCGCCCACTGCTCCCTCTGCAGTGCCTCCCTGCTGCTACCCCCCCCYCCCCCCCYCTCTTCTCATCCCATTCCTCCTCCCGCTGGTCCCTCTCTTGCTCCTCGCTTTGCCCCTCCCCCCGTCCACTGTCCTGGTCCTCACCCTCCCATCCCCCGCCCCCGGCTCATCCCGTTCGTCCCCACCGCCTTTTTCCGACATGGAAAAGCAGGTGCTGTGAGCGAACTCGGAGCTGTGCAACGTCTGCGACAGACCCAAAAAAGGAAGTAGTTTTTTCTTTTGTTGAAGTAGTTTTTTTTCCCCTCGATTTGCAAATGTGATCCTTGCGCAGGAGCCATGCTAAAACAAAACGAACTTTCCCTATGCAGGGCCTGCAAAACGACAAAAAAAAGGAAAACCGGTGCATCTTGCCATTTTCTGCCTGAGGATCCAGTCTCATTTTTGAACATCTGGAGAGCTGCGGAGCGAAGGCTTGGTACTCTCCACGTGCGCAAAAGACAAAAAAGATGGTGATGTATTTCTCTGTGTTCTAGCAGTGGATTCAGTCTCATTTGCACATTTGGAGAGTAGTGCAGCGAGGCCCTCAAACGAAAACAACGGGCGGACAAAAGCAAACCCGCAAAACGACAGAAAAAAGAAAGAAAAGGAAAGAAACGAACAAAAGGAAACTGGCAAAACGACAGAAAAAAACAAATACCTTTCTCGGCCTTTTGGCTAAGATCAAGTGTAGTATCTGTTCTGATCAGTTTAATATCTGATCCGTGGTCCATCGGGCCACACGATATTAAATTAATTTTTCTGGGCTACGGGGCGGTCGTACGGGTAAGCTTGCTTGCTCGACCCCTCCAGCGTTGCCTCTGTATTGCACTGTAGCAGAGTGCTATTTGGGAAAAAAAAAAAGAAAAAAAAAAAAAGAAACGAAACAAACGAACAAAAGGGAACTTGTGTATCTCCCCATGTTCCAGAGGAGAATTCAGTCTCATACGCACGGATCCCGAAATTTCTATGGGGCCGTCCAAGGCAAGCCCCCTCGCGGCGTGAAAAACGCACGCGTTGGGCCCGCCTGGCAGTCCCGCCGCCTTTCCCAAGAGTGCGCAGCAGCCTCTCGCGGAAGCATTACGCGAGGACTGCTGTTCTCTTAAAGAGTGTTATGGAAATGGACTAGCTTTGTGGGGGGGAAGGGCGGGGAGGGGGGGGGGGGGCAGCACGGAAACGAGACAACTATTCCTTTCTCGGCCTTTTGGTGAAGATCAAGTGTAGTATCTGTTCTGATCACAACTTCAACAATAATAAAAATAAAACTAAAAAAACACCGAGACAAGTAAAGCAAACGTGCAAAGGAACCATCAATGATGGGGTAGTAGGTAACGATCTAATAGGCTGTTGTACTTGGAGGACGCTGGGCACGTGCCGCTCCCAACGAATAAGATCGGAGCCATCACTCGCGGGCGCTCCTAAGGGCTGGGCTCTTATCCCTGTCTGCGGTAGGAGAATCCCACCTGATGTTTTGCACAATATATATATATATATATATATATATATATAGTCAAACAGAGCTTCCCGGTAAACAGTAGGCAGAGAGGGAGAAGAGGACAACAAACGAGGGGCTGTGGCAAACTGTTTCGTCGGAGTTTCACCTACTCATCAGGAGGCTGAACCCTCAACAGTCTGTAGATTGTCACATGATATATATATATATATATATATATCGTATGTTGTCCTCTTCTCTCTCTCTGCCTACGGTTTACCGGGCAGTTCTGCTTGTGACGATATATATATCGTCAAGCAGAGCTGCCCGGCAAATACTACAAAGATAAGCGTAATAAATGTAAATTTTTTTTCATAACAGGCCAAAGAGTGGCCTGTAAGAGTTTTCTGCAGGGTCGGGGCTCTGGCTGAGGTTATAGGCTCGAGGCCTGCAGGCTCCTGATGCCTTCGGTGCTATGTACAGTTGTCTTCTGGCCTTCGGCATTGGGCCCGGTCAATAAAGACGAGGTTTTCCTGAAGGAAAAAAAAAAAAAAAAGGGCAGACGTACCACACACACGGGTGAGCACGCATGCACAACCAGAATACAGACGATAGCTTCTCTTTTTCGTCTATGTTCTTTTTCTAGTACGAGGATAAATAGGAAATTTAGTTTCATACTAGCTTCGCCAATGGCCACAAGCCTCTTTTTTGTTCCTTTTAGCTTGGGAACATTTTTGGGGCATGTTTAGTGTTGCGAAGTCATCCGATGGGTCCCCGGAGATTCGTTTCTCTTCATTCTTTCTTTGATTGGCCTCTCTCTTCCTCTTCCTTGCTTGCCTTTGCACTGTGGTGCCGTCGGAGATCGATGCAGGTGCAATGCCTGTGGCACAATTTGACTAGTTTGGCCCGGTAGTGTCAGGGATTGTGAGCGCTGCTTATTTCTAAATGTTTCTTTTTTTTATTGAAAATTAAAAAAAGGGGGGGGGAAAGCCTCTTTTTTTTATTTTTTACAAGCATTTTCGACTCTTTTTATTTTATTTTATATTGTGTTGCGCCCTGCGTGTGTGCTGCTCCTTGTGACGTGGACGTTTGCGCTCGAATCCGCGTTCAAGCTTGTGTCATGGCTCAGTTGGAAACCCGGATTGGCTTAGTTAGTACGTGAAACCTCGTCCCAAGTGGCTTTCAGAGGAGAAAGAAAAGAAAAAAGAACAAAGAAAAAGAAAAAAAGAAAAAAACATTACACAAATAGAAGGAAATCACAATGAAATGGCCCCAGCGAGCAGAGCGATGGATGTTGACGGACTGCATTGGAAGTTTTGTAAATGCCATGATTGGCGGCCAGTCCTTTTCTATTCCTTCTTTCTCTTTGTGGGGGGAGGGCCAGGGGGGAAATTCCTTTCCTTTTGCTCTAGTGCATTGGCGACGCTTGCGCAAGATTATGAAGACTGACAAAATGAGAGAGAGAGAGAGAGGAGGAAACTGTCGCACAGAAAAGTGCAGGTGTTGAGCGCGCACAGGAGAGGTTCGTCGATGAGAGGTGCTGTCTAGAAAAGATGGCCCCCAGAGCACAGAAGAGCGGAGGCAAAGAGAGAGATGGCGGGAGACAGAGATGACGTCCACGCGACTACAGACACACACACTCAGAGAGAGAGAGAGAGAGAGAGAGAGAGAGAGAGAGAGAGAGAGAGAGACAGACAGACAGACAGAGCTTCGCAGATGAAGGAAGTGGAACGGAGTGAAGGGGCGATGCCGCGATAGCGGCCAAAAGGGATTTTGACCACGGACAAGACGAGAGGGATGTGGAGAGGTGGGGCGGGGACACCCTGGGCGGAAGAGGGAGAGCAGACCGAGAAGGAAGACGGAAGTGGTGAAGTATGAACATTGACCGACCTGGGAGTGGCGCGATGTCGGTCACCGGCAGAGGTTGAGCAGCTTCGCACAACTCGCTGACGTGGCAGGAATCCTCCGCACAACGCAAACTGCCGGCGCTGAGGTGGCCGCGCTATGCCCGCTACCAAGGCACACCTTCCCCTCCCTCTCACTTGTGGCGCTGCTTCCCGCTGCCCAGCGCAGTGGATGTTGGTGACCCGGGCCCCCTATCAGGGCAACGCACAAGAATCGATTTCTGAAACTTTCCGAAATTGGAAGGGGTCCCTTCGGGAGTTGTGCAACGGGATCCAGCGGCCCAGCTTAGTTGGTAACACACACAAGTGGCATTCAGGACGTCACGGGCTCAATTCTCGGACATGCTTGGTGCCCGCCACCTAGAGATGGCCCGTTGGTCCCCCCAATCGGCAGTCACTGCTGACCTTCGTAAGGGGAGGGGTAATTGGGGAGGCACAGCGACTGCCCGGTATCGTAAGCGCGTTATCGTAGTAGCTAGCCACCACGGTGCGACTTTGTGTGACTTTGCGTGGCACGCGGCGACTTCACGATACCGTTCTTATGTGAAAATCGGACGGTTAAGGCGATCAGACGTGAAGTCTTGAGTGTTGTAGGCGGCTTAGGGTTTTTCTTTTGTTTCGCCGTCCGGAGGTTGCCTGTGGGCGTCTTCGCTGTCGTGGTACCTGGCTACCACTTTCAAAGCGGGGTAGCTGGCTACCACTGCACTTATATTTCGAACGGTTGGGTCGGGGTCCCACAATTCTACCCGGAGTCACAATAGTTATCCTGGCAGCCTCAGCCAGTTTAGCTTGCGATCCTCTCTTTCTCAATCAATACCTGCAAATACTGACCATCCTCGGACTTTTAACCTTGTCTACCTGCAATTGAGGCGGTTGCTACCTTCATCTCACCTAACTATTCCTTCCATGTCTCACCTATCTATTCCTTCCACCTTACCCTGGAGTTGAAGGCCCCATAGACCTTTGTTTTAACCAGATTCTCATTGATATTGTCCCATGGAAAGCAATGAAGATAAATCAGTTGTTTGTGGCTTTTTCTGTTGCCTGGTACTTATCTAGTCTGTGTAATTATGAATTGGCTCTCTATTCTTTCGTTAGCGTCTGGGTGAAGCTGAGACCACATCCTCTTGTATTCAAATCCTCTCTTCCTTACTACGGGTCCCCTCCTCGTAGCTATCTTCAGGGACTAACGCGGTGTCGAGCGCATCGGTCCGGCACCGCACAAGGCAGCGCGGGACCCTCTCGGCCGCGTCACGCAGGAGTTGGTTTTAATCCTTCGTCGTGAATATACATGGAGTTTCCTCAAGCCGCTCCGGCCGAGTGCGTCAGCCATACCTCTCGCTAGCCCCTACGACAGGATAAAGCTTACGCGAGGCACGACTTACCTCCACCTTACGGGAGTTGTCACCTCCCTTCGGTGGGCGTATCCCCGCCGAGCTACCAGTCCACACTACGAAAGTTGATCAGTTGCAATCGCAGAGGTGGACCAGCCGAGGGCGTTTCTCATTTGTTGTAGCATAGGGGGTACGCGCGGTAGTACGCCTCTATCGGACCCGCGCGCGAACCGACATCTTGGGGGGTTGAGGTCCCAAGCGCGACTCGGCGTCGGTCGACTCGGACGTATCCTATTCACCACGCATACACCACACTACGAACACAAAAATAAAACACACACACACACACCTCAAACAACGCGACAACACTCCTAGTCCCTTAGTACCCATCCCATAACTTTCCGACGCAGAAATCGGATAGGAGTCACGCACGAGATCTAGTATAAAACCGCGCGGACGCAGGGCTAACTCGTATCGACTCCCAATGCAAGCGTACGCAAGCGGTCGCAATGATGGCGTACTATGTAGTATCCATACTCATGCGGTCCTCACTAACCTCGAGGGTCGCATTCGACACTCAAGTGTCGGCTGACACGCGCCTTGAGGGTTAATCTCTCGACGTTGGACAACCGCCAAGCGCGGTTGAGAACCACACCCTCTTCTGCACCCTGCGGAGAGTGGGTGGTACACATGTTCATACCTGTGGTGGCAGTCGTCTCTTATCGCCCTGGAGACCAGCTCGATCATCTAGGGCCTGGAAAGAAGTCAAGGGGTTTGGCTTTGACGGCTGTCACAAACTACAACTATATAATTTTAACAAGAAAAGACGGGCCGAAGGGCCTCCACATCCCGAAACCTCAACCTTGGGTAACCTTGTCGGTTGGCACAGATGACCTATCCTAACTCCAGACACGCACGTACACATGTGAATAGCCTAATCCCATAACTCTAAACGCTGGGCCGGACGGATGTCGCGTGCAGGACTTTTAATATAAAGTTGCGCGGCCGTAAGCCCTTCCTACATCAGCCGGTGATGCTAGTCATACGCGAAAATCACAGTTTCGACCTCGCGTTATTGAATGGCTGAAGGAATATATCGTGAGGGGTTGCCCTTCACGATATTGAGCGGCTGAAGGACATGCCGTTCAGCCCTCGCGACATTTCTGCCCTCTGGGTTAGGTGTCTCGACGGGCAGGGCAGAGACTCTGCGCACGGGAAGATTCCTCCCCTGCAGAAACTAGGGCTTGGGATGTCCTGGACAAAGACCTCGAATACAGGCCTAGGACTAAAGTCCAACTAAGAAGCCCCTAAGAAGCATACAACTACGTAGAGGGGATTTTTCTTTCTTTGCACGGCCTCAGCCCCTATTTAATTCTCAACGCGCGGGTCCCTCAGCGCAAGCGAACTCCCAACACAAGTTCACACATATTTATACATATACATAAGGGAGATGAGTATGTGACGATCACTTCTCACAATCACAGTGGGGATCCTCACAGCCATACATATATGTGTGATCGCAGGCATGCCAATCCAAATCCGAACCACATTACATATCTGCAATCACATCAAAGAGACAACAAAAATTCACGCACTACACGGAGTCAACCCCAACCAATCTCTATACTCATACCCCTCGCTTTAGTCATGCAAGCCCCAACTTCCAGCTAACCAACCATAATTAAATACTCAGCACCTTTGTTAAATGACCATTCAATAAAAGTCCGAGTAAAACCTTAACGAAACAATAAAATCACAACGGCTAAAACCTTTTAGGTTGAGTATTGAGGGTGAGTTGGAATTGAGTCGTGGACCGACGAATCGGCAACCGACCTGTTATCAGTGATATTAGAAAATGATCATTGTAGGATCAAGCTGAAACTAGTTCAAATCCTGAATCAAATGGTTAAGAGGACCTGTAACACAAGACAGACCAATCCCGAGGCTAACTCTATAAATCATTGGAAAAATAATCCCCATATCACGATCTCATTCCAAACCTTCCTAATTGACTAAGCCTAAATCTACCTTTAAGCAGTACCCAAAGCAAAGGTAGACCCTGACATAATTTCCCCTATACAGAGCGGATCGCCAGAATCGTCACCTGTCAAAATATAGTCTAACTCCTTTAAACTAGGAAAATTTTGGCAGCGCTTCCCGTAGGAAAAGTGTCTTTTCAGAATTTATATCAGCCTGAATATGAAAGCAGAAATAGTCTTCGACTTCCCAAAGTTCAATTTTGTCTAACTCCCTGAATTAGCAAAAATTTGGGCAGCACTCCTTTTAGAAAATTATACTTTCCAGATTTTTACTAAGTCATATATGAACTTTAGACAAACTGAACTTTAAAAAGTCAAAATATGACTAACTCCTTGGATTTGTAGAAATTTCGGCAGCGCTTCCCGTAGAGGAAGTGACTTACCAAAATTTATACAAAGCCATGTATAATGAATGATCTCAGGAAATGCGGGAATTGATCTAAGATAAAACTTAACTCAGAAAATGCATGGAAAATGCAGAAAAAATGCAGGAATTGAAACTAACTCCTATGGCTCTAGCACGTGGCGAGCGACTAAAGCAACTACCTATCAAACTGAAACTCAGACTAAGTAGTAGCCTCACTCAGTCACATGCAGGCCAAACCACAAAGGTAAGTACTCTCACCATCCCAAGTCAACTTATCAAACAATAGTTCATAGTCTTTAAATGATTTAACCCCTTATACCCAACTTACATAAGGTATAAGGTCAGGACATCCAAACTTATGGAATGTGCCTTACTCAGCCAGGCATAAAGTCAGGCCACCCAAATTTATGGAATGAGCCTAACTTAGCCAAAGTATACACAAACACAGGGCACAACAATTTTTTTCTTCTTTGGACATATTACTAGGTCATTCTAGTCGCCCTGAACTGTTTAAATAACCAAGTTATATATACCTCTCTGAACTTTTAATCTTCAAGGCATGCGTAGGACTGAGTCATTCATCTTAGAAAATGGTCAGCCGGCCCAAGTTACCTTCAGTTATACTCTTAGTTATACTCTTTCCAGGTTGTGATAAACTATAGTCAGACTACCTAAACTTATGGAATAGTTTGACTAGCTTGTTCATAAGTAATATTAATAATAGAGTATAGCCAAATTATAACCTTTGGGTTCCAATATGTGCGAGCTTTGAGTCAGACCACCTGAACTTACAGAATAGTCTGACCCTCTGTCTGATTCGTTCCTCTTTGATCTAAGTTGTGCGTGGCATTGGGCTTGACCACCTGAACTTACAGAACAGTCTGCCCTTTGTCAAGTTCGTTTTCTAAAAATAAAACAGGAAGAGGCTGAACCACCTAAACTTATAGAACGGCTCAGACCTCCTCGTTCAGAACCAAATAAGCAGAGAAAACCCAAGAGTAACCAAGGCAACCAAGGCACCTGAACTTACAGAACGCACTTGGCCCCAGAAAAAGTTAATCACAGACAGTCCCCGCAAGTCAGTGCAACCAGACCATCTAAACTTATAGAACAGTCTGGTCCTCAAGGCAATCCCATAGCACTAGGTCTCCTCAAACTAATGGGGACTTCCCAGCCACCAGAGCAATCATACCACCTAAACTTATAGAACGGTCTGACGCTCCACACAATCCAAAATAAACCAAGCACTGGGTCTCCCCAAACTTATGGGGACCTCCCAGCCTTAAACGACCCAATCAAACCTCACGCAAAAACTGCCTTCCTCCCAACCTTCCCCCAGATGCAATCCCTTTTTGTTCACAATCCGCTTTCATACAATCAACAAAGTTGAAACTGAGTTTGCACAAGCATTCTTTT